ATCCCAGCACCTTCCCAGCGAGTTCTCCATTCCTCCTGGAGCACAGCCCACAGGCTATTTACATAAATATGTTTGTAACAGACGCGAAAATATATACTTTTTTCTGTCTTATTAAAATGTTCAAGTTGGAACTCGCCTATTGTTTGTGGATCTCTCGATTCTGTTAAATAAAACAGTGACTAATTTATGGGATAAAACACAAGTTCAACAAATTAAAACCATTATTGGAGCTTCACAAGCCCCGGTGGGCCAAGCAGCCCCTCCCTCGAGGCCTAGCAAGGCAGGGTGCCAAGTCCCCACCCCACTTCAGCAGGCGGGCGGGTGGGTGTGTGGGAGATGTGGACCACAGGGCTCCCTGTGGACGAGAGCGCAGGGGTAGGGGCCGCCACTGGGTCCCTCTGGCAGGTCTCTGAGCTGACTGCAGCAGCCTCAGGGAGGCAGGATGGGGTTCAGGCAGTTAGCGGACGTTGGCCAGGCCACTCTGCAGTGCTCCCAGGTCTTCTGGGCTTGGTCAGTCTGAAATCACACGGCGTTGACCAGGGCAGGGCCAGCTTCCAGTCTAGATGCTAGATAAAGCCAGGTGAGGGCCCAAGTAGGGGTCTCAGGGCCTCAGAACAGCATCTGGGGTCATCAAGGTAACTCACAGGCAGTCCAGTGTCGAGTCTGAGGTACTGCCCCAGAGCAGGACAGAGGAATGTGGCCATCTGCCCCACCAAGGTCTTTGTTCATCAAGACCAACTCCCCCCGACCCCAAAGTCAGAAGGGGAAGCTGGTGATACTGGGCTGCAGCCCTCCCCTCAGAGGTGTGGGGTGGCCAGGCCCCAGGACACTCCCTGTGGCTTGCTGGGCCTGGTAGGCGTGCAGTAAAACATGTTTTCATCCTGGGGTTTAATTAGCTGTGTGGTGCGATGCTCCTACACACCCAAACTGGGGCAAACTCAAGAGTTTTGTAACCTCTTGGAGCAGCCAGACCAGCTACACAGACTCAGGTCTGAACTCAGCGGCTGCCCACCTCCCACAGACCTGGCCCAGCTGGGCTGCTACCGGTAACTGAGTCACCTGTGGAACCAGACTTGGGGTTCCAGAGCGGCCTTGTCCCCAGGCCTCCTGGATCAAGTGACATAATGGACCCTCTCTGCACAGTCTACACAGGCTAGCATCCATCCAACCTTATGAGAGGTGGCCCTGGGCCCCTGGGGAGGAAGTACAATTGGCAGCAAACAGGCTGGGAATCCTGAGACCTCATGGGACAAGAACTGGTCCGGGCCTTCACCACCCTTGCTGAGGGCTGCCCTACTCTTGGGCTCCCAGAACCTACAGTCAATGCAGAGGGCAGATGACAGGTAGAGCAGCAGGTCCCAAATGCACTGCCACCTGCAAGCCCCACATCACTACATGACAAGACCACACCCCCAGCTGAACGCCTCTGTAGACCCTGCCCTTGGTTTTGCCCCAAGTCTCCATGAAGCCTGTCTGCCCAGGAAGCAGAATGCCCCAGAAACAAATCACCAGGGCTGATGGGTGGGGTGGGCAGGCTACCATTTAGAATCAGGGCCCTTCCAGGACCCACCATGGGGCAAGTGAAGGCTTCAAGCACTGTTCTCTATAGCGCTTGATGAAAGTAAACAATTCAGGTTTATTTATGATCTAAGTGAAAGTCCCTCAACAGATCTCAAACTCCTCTGCACAGAGAGAGAGAGAGACTGGTAGCGGGCCACCAAACTGTCCAGCCTAGGGGAGAGAGGGCGGGCACACTGTACAGGGTGGCATCCAGGGCTGATCCCTGAGCAGAAGGAAGTACCTCTGTGGGCGAGGGGCAGGAAGCGAGGCAGCCAAGGCCAGGTTTCCAGTGAGAGCTCTACCTCATCTACCTGCCTCCTGGACCCTCTGACCTGGCCCCTTCTCAGATCTTGACAGAAACATTTAAACACAAGGAAACACTAAGGGTTGAGTAAACTCCTGGGATGAGGCAGGCTGTCCAGCCTGTCAGACGCTCCTACACCACCTCCTGTCCCCCTTGTGGCTCCAGGTGCTGGCCATCCAGGGAGGAGTTACTCAGAGCGACCAGTCTCTGGAGAACTCCACGCCCACCCGAGTGTGACCAATACAAGTAGCTGTTCAGTGCGAGAAGCACAGTGAGGATCAGGGTGAAGAGGAGCGTCCAATTTTATTTAAAAACAACAGATTGTTTGCAGTTAAGCCAAGCACACACACACACACACAACTCCCTAACAGGAGGAAGGGGGATTGTCGCTCACTATTTCCTTCTATACTGATTGGACTTTTAAAACATCTGTATGTACTTCTACAAGAATAAAAAAATGTTTGGTATAAACTCAGATTGTCTTCTCTGCAATCCAGAATGATTCCTTTTCTCACAAGAGGGGTGCTGGGACATGGCTTCATGAACCAAAGGCCGACTGCAGCGGCTCTGGGGCCCTGAACTTCTCTCCTGGGCTGTGCAGATGGGCCCCCTGGCCACCTCCCCCCCAGGAGACCATGTGGAGCCCTCTTTCCTGACCCAGTCGGCTGCCCATCTGAAGGGCAGAAACAGGGACTAAGGCAGCCATGTGGGCAGGGCTCAGACAGGGGAGGCCAGGAGCTCACCCCAGGCCTCCAGAGTGTTCCGCTGATTTCTTTCTAAAGACACTTTACAAAAATACATTGTAATTGAGTTTAATAATCTCCCTCCCAGCAAGGGCCTGACAGGCGCTGCCTGCTGCTCACTTCTGCCCCATTCCAAATATTTTTACCTTATTTGGATGAAATGCATTATTTTTCTAATGAAAGACTTTTTTTTTCCAAAGGGCTGTTTTCCCTCCGTCCAGCAGTGCCTTTATTAGGCAGCACTCATGCCGTTTTGGGGAGGGGTTTTTCTCTCCCTGAAATCTCGCCAGACACTCTGTCCTCAAAAGCTGAATTCGGTGCTCAGGACCCACAGGAGCAGGTTTGGCCCTCCCCTTGCCCCCACATGCGAGCCCTGGGCAGCTGGAGTCTCCAGATTCCCCAGGGTGGGCAAAGCTGTTGTGCAGCCCCGATCACTCCCAACCCAGCAGCTCCTCTTGGTGGCCGGGTTCTCAAGGGAGAAATGGAGGCAGCATTGTGGCGGCCCAGGGGAACAGCAGGGCCACTGGGCTCCAGGCTTCGCCAAACCCAAGAGGTGACTCCCCAGGGAGTGCCCAGGCTGCTCAGGGCCAGGGGGCAGGGGCCTGGCCGTGGGCTGTGCAGGCACGGGTGAGCAGGCCCTCACTCCGGCTTCTTTAAGCATGGTGAGGGCAATCTGCAGTGGCCCCTCTCCATCTGGGCTCTGCAGGCCCCTCGGGAGACGGAACAGCACATGAGTTGGGAGCATCAAAGACAAAACAGGAGGGCCAGTTGCCGTGGGGGGAGGGGCCAGGGCTGGACACACAAGGGGTTCCGTGATCTGACCTCTCAGTAGCTCCCTTGGGCCACAGAGTCAGGAGTGGGCTTGCTACAAGGGAAGTGGATAATCAGGCCTGGAACCCTAAAAAGGGGTGACGTGGAAGGTGGCGTGTTTTCTGAGCCAAACAGCCCCCACCCCCTGGTCGTATCTGTCCCTCATGTCCTCCCCAGGGCAGCTGGGCAAGGTGGACCCTGTGGCCAGGAGGCCTGGGAGCTGCTGGAGGGGTACCTACCCGCCATGGTGGCTGCCGTCTGGCACTTGTCACCTCCAAGCACCTGGACATGACCATGTCCTTGTCCCCACTTGGTCACACCACTCAGGGCTGGAGGAGCAGAGTAGTCCCTGGAAGGGCTTTCCTGCTGGCTCTGTGAAGGTTACAGGGAGACCGGGAGGAGGCAGAGAGGACGAGACACTCACTCTCCTGGGGAAAATATTCCTCCATTTAAGGCCTGAGAATTCATCACATTCCACGTCAGGTCTGCACAGTCACATGAGGTCCCTTCTCCTCCCGCGATTGGAAACGTCGCCTGCAGCAGGCACCCCGGACCCAGAGCCCAGGACCCAGGCTGTGGTGAAGAGCCAGTGAGTCCTGGTAGGAAAGGAGTGGGTCCAGCCAGGGAGGTTGAGGCATAACAGCTGGTCCATTGTAGGAGTGGCCAGGCCCCACCCCCTAGGGGTCCAGGTGTGAGCAAAGACAGGGCCACAGCCAGGGGTTAAATAGTGGCAACTCATATTTATTACAATTATATACAGTCATCTCTTACATTTTGCATCTATACATGATCACACAAATGAACATGTTTCTGGTGGGAAGACAGACGAAACTGTTAGCAAGGCCCTGATGCCTGGCTCCTGCATGGGGCGTGAGGGTCACATCTCATCATTGATTAGCTGAGGCCACAATGCAGCAGGCGAGGGTGGTCAGAGTGCAGTGTGATTTCATTTCCCAGGAGGACGACAGGGCGTGGTGGGGAGCAGGGCATGGACAGCGGCAGGTTGGGTAGGGCCTGGCTAGGGAGACAGCAGTCTGGACGCCCCATTAGGGCAGACCCCCACTTTTAGGAACAGGACAAGGCAGTCTGCCAGGTCCATAGCGGGCAGCTAGGGGAGCCCAGGAGTGCCAGGCTCTTGGGGCTAAGGGGGCAGAGGGGAGGGAGAGGAGCAGACACACTTCAACTGCTCTTCTTTCTCCATCAAGGAGTTAGGGGTTGGGAAATGGAACCAGCTCTTGTCATGCGAGGTGCTAAGGTGAAGACACTCAGCAAAAGACCCTGGCCTAGACCACGGTTCTGGAGAGGCGCTGGGCCAGGAACTCCATCACAGAAGCTTCTAGACCTCCAGCCTGGCATGAGGGCAAGATCAAAGGCCGGTCTGTTTGGGTGAGCTAGCATTCTGGCAAGAGGAGGGTGGGAAGGGGGAAGAAATGCAATCACACGCAGCGGCCAGACTGGGCCGTGATGCTGCCTGCGGCGGGGGCTGCAGCAAGGGCCTCCCACGGAGGCAGGGGTGCAGCTCTGCCCACCGGGCTCAGGTGCCCTCCCAGGACCAGAAGTCCCACCAAGCTGGCAGGCGGGGCCTAGTCCCGCTCATGCTCGTTGCTGGCACCCTCAGGCCGCCGTAGCTTCTCCACCTGCTCATTGATCTGCCCGTCTCCACCGCGGCGGTCCTCCTCGCCCACGTGGCTCACATCCTCATCCTCCTCTTCATCCTCCTCATCCTCCCGCTTCTCCTCCTCGCCCTGCACCTCCATCCGCACCTGGCCCTTGACATCCAGCACCCCAGTACCCTCCTCGGCGGGGCCCAGCAGGTGGTATGTGGAGCCCTCAGGGCTGTGGCTCTCCTTCACGGGAGAGGACGACGTGGACTCATTGCTGACAGGTGAGATGTCGCTGCTGCTGTGGTGGTTCGCAGCTGCTGCAGGGCTGGAGGGGGACGGAGACTTCACTGGGATCTGCCAGGAGGGGATCTTGGGTGCGGATGGTGAGGGCGGGAACTGCCTCCTGGCAGAAAAGCAGGGGGTGGGAGGGAGAAAGGCAGAGGTGGGTGACAGAGCCAGAGAGACCCCTAGTGAGGAGGAACAGCCCCCAGGACCACCCAGCAAGGCAGCAATGCTGGGACAAGACGCCCTCCTCTCAGAAATAATACTGAGCTGCCCACAGAGCATCCTGCTCCACTCAGGAGCCCCCCCGCTGTCCGGCTGGGCTGTATGGCCCGGGGTTCGGTCATGCCCAGGGAACAGAAGGGGCTAAGACTGGACAACCCCAATCTGTCTATGAGCTGAAAAGAGGGGTGGAGGTCAGAAACATCAGAACCAAGGACAATGTGGGCACCCTCTACAGGAACTTCTGCCCTCACACTTCCCAAGGAGTCATACCAGAGCCAGAGACAGCAGGGACCTGCCCACAGCACTGTTCTTCCTCTTAAACCTGCCAGTGGCTGTGCTGATCCCCTGGACCACAGATGTGTACAGAAAGCTAGTGGAAGTATCTCCTGGCTGCTTTGTGTGTCTGGCTGGTCACAAAGGTCCTGACTTCAGACCAATGACAGCCCCTTCCCCTCCAACTCCCCCAGATCGGTCTCACCTCACTGCAGCCTCCAATCTTTGCTTTAGGGAGTAAGTGGCATGGACAATGGGCTCCTCTAGCTGGGGCCCCCAGCCCCCAGCAACCCCAACCTGATCCCCTAAAGAGGCCCCTCCAGAGTACCATGGTACAGCCACAAACCCTAGCCAGCAGAGAGGAGGGCACCTGAGCAGGTCAGGTGACCGGCCGTCCTGGTCCTGGGGCAGAGGCTGTTCAGTTTCAAATCCAGGGTGAGCTGGCCACCTTGCTCTCAGGGCTGTGTGGTGACAGCATCCTCACTAGTTAGGGTGCGGGAGGGCACCTTCATAGTGAGACACAGTGGAGAGTTGGGGCAGGGCTGGTTCTGCCTACGCCTGATCAAGGACCCTAACTGGCACAAAGCCCCAGGCCACTGGGTCAGGCTGTCACTGCAAGGTCCAGCCAGGAGCTTGAGAAGGAGGCAGCCTGCTGACCCCTCACCCCAGGATAGGCCAAATGAGGGGGGCAGAGAAGGGGCTTCATCTGCTCAAAGGGCTCCACTTTACAGCTAATTGTCCTTGATCCCTACTTCTTGACCAGGCCTGAGGAGCTGTCTGGATTTCAGAGTGTGTGTGAGTGCTTCAGACGGTCACCCCTAGAGTGGACATGGGCCTGTGAGGAAGGGAAATGGAAGTTCAAAGATCCCACCCATAATGCCTGAGCTGAGGCCCCCACAGGGAGGGAGTCCCTATCCCCAGCAGGGAGCAGAACAGAGCCCACGCCTTCTTCCCTCCCTACCGATTTAAAAGCAGACCCTTCAAGGAGTTGATCTCCGACTTGAGCTCATTGATGTTCTGGGACTCCAGGATCCAGTTGGTCGACGTGGTGGCCTGAATCACAACACAGGAGGCCACACTTCAGAGCTTCGCAAGAACCTGGTACCAACAACAGCACCCAGGCCACCTGCTGCCTGGAGAAGGTGCTGCCAGTGCCCAGCCAAGGTGCCCACCTGCCTGCTCACTGCCCCTGCTTAATGAGGAGGCCCTGGAAAACATCTGTCCACACTACTCCGTTTGGCCATTTGACAGTGTTAAGAAATCCTCCCTTTCTCTTCTTCAGGCATCATAATGGTTCTGTGGCACACCAGCCACAGAGCCTGATCTTTCAGAGAGACAGAGAAAAGGAAGGGCAGCCAGAGTAACAGGAGGCCTGTGATTTGCTTAGGGAGTCTGGGGGAGGGGACAGTGGGCATGAGCAGAGTTATGACACGATAAGAGCAGGAGGGCTCGTTACACTTCCCTCACCCCACCACTGTGTATGGGAGGAAGACACTCCATTCTCTACGCCATTACAAGGAGCCCTGGTGGCACAGTGGTTAAGCATTTGGCTGTTAACTGAAAGGCTAGTGGCTTGAACCCACACAAATTTGCTCCTGTTACGCCTGTCACATAGGGTCACTATGAGCCCCAAATCAACTCAACAGTACCTAACAACAGTAACATATACCAACTACACCCTCCACCCAAATCCTTCCCTCCAGAGATCAATGTTTCCACCACATGTGGAAGCAAACTAAGGGCTGAGAAGAAGTGTGGTAGGGAGGCCAATGCCTCCGAGCAGGTGTCCACCTGCTTACCCTCTACCCATTGCCCCCCCCCAAGTGCTGACCTCAAGGAGACCAGTCAGACAGGCTTCATCACAAGAGGTACTTTCCCCCAGAGCCCACAGGCCTCTAGCCCCCACTTCTCAGGGTGGGCAAGACACCCCAGACTCACCCCACCTCGCCCTGTCCACAGTCACTCAGCAGCTGAGGCACAGAGAGAGCTGTCCTGTCAGTGGGGGTCACTTCAGCCCCCTCCCTGGAGACTGCCCAGAGAAGCAGCCCTGGTAATCTGCCCAGGGCCACTCCCTGAGTCACGGCTTCCCCTCTTGAAATCTGACCTTGTTTTCCCAAATGAAAGTGCGAAGGCCACACCTTTCTTTTGACAAATCTTCTCCCGATAGATGGAAAAGTGAACAGCCCAGCAATGGAGCTCCTCCAGGAGTTCCCCAGGGCCAGGCTGACTGAGAGGTACCCATAGAGGTCAAGTCCACATGGGGCACCCAGGCTGGAGTCCAGCACCAATTAATCCCACAGGCCCTTGCTTCCCTGATACTGCTGCCCCAGCCATACGTGAAAACTCGAGCCAGAAGCCCATGAGAATTAAGGAGCCCACCAGCTGGGAGGGGGTCCCTGGATGCTTCCTGCCAATCTGCTGCAGGTCTGGGGCCACCAAAGAGTCCAGTGTTGATGAGGACTATAGGGACAGCTGGGGATGGAAGAGCACGCCTGGCTGCCACCCTCGCACCCACAAGTCCAGGGGTCCCCTCTTCCAGAGCCCTAGACAGTAAGGATCCAGGAGGTGATGTTCTGGCCTCTACGAGTCCCTGAAAGCCAGAGCAGCCCATTAACAAGGGAGCAATTTCCACTCACCGGCCTGCAAAGGACTCGGATTTCCAAAGGCATATGGTGCCAGATGCCTGAGATTTAGAAATAAAATCTGACATCTGGGGCTTTTTAGCCAGTCTCTTTAAAAAACATTTGTAGAAAACCCAGAGCCTTCAGTTTTATGTAGGTTTTTTAATTACTTAAAGCTCTTCTTTTTAATTTTTTACAGTGCTCCAGCAGGAGTTTGGAAGCCAGATAAAAAACTCACATTACAGCTGAGAAAACACAGCTTGGACTCTGGTTTATGGGGTAAGCAAAGTCCTCACATATCTGGGGTTTACACACTAACCCAGTGGGCTCTGCTTCAGGACAGGAGAAAGGAGAGGGGACCAGGGCCAAGAAGGAAAGACTCTCCCCACCCGCCACCCCCCGCCACCGGCATGAGAGAAACTCACATGCAGTACCTCTCCTCCTAAAAACCTAACATGTGGTCTTCATCTTAATGGATAAGGCCTGAAAACAGTTTTCCAATTTCCGGAATGGCTTCTGGCCATTGGAAGGCCATGACTCCAAAAGATAACAGAGGGGCTAGGCCGGGCCAGGGCCATAAACTGCCTCCCAGCTGCTGTGCGGGGGAAATGCAGGTGTCCAGGACACGGAGACGGGTCTCTGGATGGGGTGAGTGCCCAGGACCCTCCTACGGAGGCACCCTAGATTCCACCTGAAATGGAAAGATTCATATTTCACTGGTTTCCACAAATGCACGGGCTGCATGGAAGCAACCAGAAAGCCACACCTGCCAGTCACAGGGCAAGGGCACTGCTGCCTGCAGTCCATGGGCCTCAGGGCCTGGGTCAGGGGTCAAGGATGGCCAGAGAAGAAGATAGGACATGGTGTCAGAGAAGCATGCAGTGCAAGAGTTGATGTCTAACACACACACCTGGGAAAACCTGAGTGTGGGCCCCAGCACAAACCTGCAGATCCACAATCAGGCAAGAGACGGCCAGGTGGTGAGCCCACGGGGTGGGGAGAGGGTAGAGAGTAAGAAAGGCCTGGCAATCATTCCTGACTGTTCTAAGCATGTTGTCAACCCAATGAGGTAGATACCAGAATAGCTCCATTCTACATGCGAGGAAACAATGACTCAGGGAGGTTACATAAATTGCCTGTGGCCGCACAGCTCAGGAGAGGCAAAGTTAGGGTTTCCATTCAGACAGTCTGACCCTAGAATCTGCAAGGATGACTTTGCCTAGACTCCTCCAGACTTGGGAAGTGGGGTGTGAAGACGGCCTTGGCTAGGCGCACTTGACTCCACGAGGCCTATGTCTTAAGGGCCTGGCCCTAGCAGCAGCGTTGGGCCCAGTGCAGGACAAGGCACAAGCTGCCAGACTGTCTGTGGCCATCTCCCTGTCTCCGTGCACTGGAAATTATCTTGGCAGTCCTGGGACTTGAGGCCACCTATGCAGGTGGAGGCTGTCCCATGTCTACACTTGACTTAGTACTTTGGGCATGAAAGTAGCTGCCATGAGCAGCTATAGAAGAACAGCTACCCTGCCACTGACGGGTGAAACCGCAAACGGACAGCTCAGTCACTGGACGTCACTCCGACCGCCCAGGACTGCTGCCTTCTCTGGGAGAGCAGTGGCAGCCAAGTGACCAGTGTGGGGAAAGCACTGGACAGTCAGACTCCAGAGGAAGCCAGGAGCTGGGCAGAGGACCAGGCACGGGCCTGCAGGGGCCCCAGAAGCAGAGACGAGTACCTTGGCGGTGGCCAGTTCATGAGCAAGCTCCTGGACTTTCTGCTGTTGCTGGATCAGTAGCTCCTGGACAGAGGCTAGAGTCGTCTGGACCTGCGTCACTGGGAGGGAGGGAGAGAGCCGTTGCATCGCCGCTAAATAATACACAGGGGTTCCTTCTCTGTCCACACACCTACCTAGGAGCCGCCCGTATTCCTGCTACATCTAATTTATCTGCAGACACCCAACCCCCCCTGCATTCATATAATTTATCTGCACTCTGGGTAATCTACCTGCACTGTATCTAACCTCTAGTATTTCTACTTTATCTTTCTATTGTGTGGCTGTCCATGGTCAACAGTATATCCGTCCCAAACCTCTCCCCTCTAATTACATCTGGCTATGATTTGCTCAGCTCGTCCAACTTCCGTTACGTTTGTATCACTCATCTCTCGGGCCTCACGGTGTCCTTGTGGACCTCGGGGAGAGTCTCCAGTATTGGGAGAGATACACCTCAGATCTGTCACCACCAGGAGTGAGCAGTCAGAGCTGCCGATCCCATCGTTCCTGCTCCTTCTTGTCCACCAGGCCCTAGGCTGCTGGCTCATCCCCTATCATGTGACCTTGGCCAGGCGGGCCACGGATGTGCCAGAGGATTCTGTGGGCTTCCCAGGCATGCCTCAGGGGAGACCTGTGGCTTCTTGGGACAGGTGGCTCTTTTGCCTGCCTCAGGTTTTAAAATTTCAAGCCTCTCTGTGTAGTAAACAAGTTTATAAAGGAGAGAAGCCACCTCTGGCGCGACAGGTCCCAGCTAATCTGGGCCATCATTGGGGCACCGGGTAATGAACGCCAGCCCTGTGGAGTCGATAACAGAGGAGGTGGCTGGGGTCACAGGAGCCGCAGTAATTACAGACTCTCTTGACCCTGCTTTGGATTCTTAGCGGGAAGGGGGGAAAAAATCACTGAAAAACCCCCCTGAAAACCTCATAGAAGCAGAAATTAAAAATGAACTTTACAGCCCTTAGAAAGGCTGTCATTTTATTCCCCTTATTAATATTCTGAGGTTGGGAGCCTTTCCGTAAAAACATAATTAATTGAGGCCGCGCCGACAGTAAACAAGCAATTTCAAATTAAACCGAAATGACGGCGGCTTCATTTGCAAATGTGAACAGATTCTCAGAGCAGATAAATGAAGTCACCACATAAAGTGGAGATGGAGGGGCGCGGGGAGGGGCGGCGAAGGGGCTGCTCAGGAGGCTCTGAGGGGTGACTTGATGGAGTCATTAATCTTTACCTGTCTGGGCCACGTTGCCACTCAGCTCCGAGAGACTCGCTGCCATCCGCTCCAGTTGCTTCCGGTCCTCTCTGCCGCCCACAATGAGGGGGAGCAGGTATTTCTAGAAGAATCGGGACAGTATTAGAAATGGGTACAGAGTCAGGGTCCGTCTTCAACAATCTCTCACATGCTGTTACCAACTTGCTCTCTCATCCCCAGGTTTTGAAACCGGAAGCAAACACCATAAACGGGAAGTTAATAGGCAGTGATCACAATCCTATGGAAGGTATGTCTGAATAAGGCCCCAGACCAAGAGAGAATGTGGACAAACACGAGAAAGGAAGAAAAAAAACCTGAATCCGTTATAATGGAGAACTTTTCTTTTCTTTTATTTAGTTTTCTTAATGACACTATAATGTTTCTGTAAGAAAATCTTTTTTTTTTTTTCTTAACTCTAAAAGTTGTAAGATGAGAATGTGGAAGGATACATACTGAATGTATGTATGAATGGGAGGGGGACTTCTCAACTGTACACTTTCTGAATCTTTAACCATTTGAACCACATGAATGAATTACCCATTCAGAAATAGATGAGTAAAATGAAATAAATATCTGAGAGAAACTAGAAGAAAATCAAGAACAGATTTCGGGAAACCTGGTTCGTTCTTTTTTCAGAAACAAGTTGCTATCAACCTGATTCCAACTCAGGACGACCCCATGTGGGTCAGAGTAGAGCTGGGCTCCAAGAGCACTGAGTTTTCAGAAGCAGGTGGCCAGGTCTTTCCTCTGGGGCACCTCTGAATGGACTCAACGCTCCAACCTTTCAGTTAACAAATGTCTACTGCAATGATCACACTTCCTGGGGAGCTCCTGGCCCTTTCATTGTTGTTGTTGTTGTTAAGTGCCGTCGAGTCGGGTCCGACCCAGAGCGACCCTGTACAGGGTTTCCGAGGGTGTAAATCCTTACGGGAGTAGAAAGCCTCATCTTTCTCCCGCGGAGCGGCTGGCCCTTTCATTAGAGTTGGATATTTGAGTATTCCAAGGCTGTTGGGAGAGATTGCTTTAGAACCTTCAACAAAAACTCTTCATATGAATCTGATGCAATTCAATTCCCTTGGAGCTAGAATATAGGGTTGGGATGGGGTGGGTTGGACAGAACCAGAAGGAACTGTGGAGAAAGAAAGCTAATACTGCAGGGTAACCAAACAGGACAGCTATCCTGGGGAGGACCGGGGTCTCAGAATATTCTAGAAGAAGGCACAGTGTTGGTACCTGGTTCTCTGACTTAGGGGATATAACGGATGACAGGTGGGCACCTGAAGACAAGAGCGTATGCTCCGAATGCCAACAGTCAGGTCGGGGAGAGAGACCTCCACATTAGAGACGCATGCCAGCAGTCGCCAGCCTAGAGCAGGGTGGTGCTAGAGTGAGCAGCACAGGCCCCTCAGGTGTGGCTGAAGGACAGCTCTGCTTCTGACTACGCTGGGGCCCCAAATAGGAACAAAAGACAACAACTTCTCCATTAAGGTTTCTGTACTGGGGAAGGAAAAGGAGGCCTCTCACAAGGGGTTTGTGGAAGAACTCACTTCGAAAGGCAAGGCAACTCCTAAGTGAAGACCATTATTTAGCATATGTATAGAAGCATTTTCTATTTTGCAAAGTGCTTTTCAACCACGGTGTGAGTTATTACCCACCACTGAGCCGAAACTCATCAGAAGTAGCCTTACATTTCAGATTGAAAATTTCCCAAGTATAAAAGTCACTGCCCCACTCCCCAGCCTAATAAAACAAGATGAAGATTTCTTACCTCTCCTCTTTTATTTTAAAGAAACTGTTAACAGATGTTTTAGAAATTCTCTTATCTCCACTGTGATTGATCTTTCGATGTCTCATGTCTTTTTTTAAGTGAAAAGGAAAGCTCAGAGTTCTTAGAAAGCACTGCTTTGCCATCCACACCTAGGGCTTCCAGTCTCCGTGAGAGCATGCACTGTCCGAGGCTACTGGAATCTGAGCATCTATCTCTGGAGACCCTCATCTCAGAACCTGTATCTAATCCTTCTTGGTGGCTGTATGCAGTGAGTGGTTTGAAAGAGGCTTTCTACACACAAGGTAAGGCGTTAGCTCTGAGGAAGAAGCACCCCGACCCGAGACACTCTGATTCTGACTTTCTGACATGGAAATTTCCAACTGCAGGAGTAGATGTTACACCAGAAAATTACATTCTGCTATAACTCTCTTCATTAGTTTTTTGCATGAAGTCAAGAATTAAGAATCCCAGAGTGCACTGTCTAAACGTGTTTCACATGCCAAAATTTACAACAGTGAGTCTAGATACCCTTTCAGGTTCTTTACAAATAATTTCCAAATAAGGAGGTGGGAGAGCTGGTGGCCTCAGACCAGAGCTGGGCCTTTACAAGGGCACCCTGGGAAGTCAATGTCCACTCCATGCCTACAATGACTCTGGGAGCCTGGGGTTAGTTTAGGAAGTCGAGGAAAATCTAAGATTCAAATGAAAACCAATACCATATAAGAGTCGAAAGCTAGGTCCCACAAGACCTAGCTTGAGATCGTTCTGATTACCCAGAGATTCTCAAAGCTGGGTTCAACTAGGGGGAACAACAGCTGACCTGTATACAGTGCTTCCTGTGGGCCGGGCCTGGCTGTAAGCACCTCCCATGCACTACAACCTCCCCATTCTACAGATGACAACACTGAGCCACAGAGAGGGATGGCAATGGCTTGTGGTCACAGTGGCAGAGCCAGGATTCAATGCTGGCAGGGGACCCCAGTGTCCACACCCTTAAGCACTACATGATTACTGTGTGCCTGGTGCTATTCTAAGCACTTGGCTTGGGTAATCAGTCAGTGGCCCTCACAGCCACTCTGGGCAGCAAAGACTGCCTGGGGAGTGAGGGGTGCAGTGGATGAGGTCAGTCTGAACTTGCCAATCTTCCCCAGCTGGGTGATGACAAGCTCGAGACTTGAAGCCACCTAGACAGCTGCCTCTAGTCTGCTGCCCATACACAGCCTCAGTCTTCAGTAGCATCTCAGCCATAGGTAAACCTGGGGATGGATGCTGAGAAGGACAGACTGACCTTGTAGAGCTGGTGAAAGCCAAATGCGATTCCTGCCATGATGATGGCCAAGGCACCATAATCCCTCCACCGGGAGCCTCCAGAGCCTGTGGTGGGGAGAAAGCAGAGAAAGTCAGAAGGGACACAGAGTGTTGCCCTGCCCACCAGGGAGGTTACAGCAGGGAAAGGAGAGAGCTCCTGGGATTCCTCACTGCAAACAACTGGCAGGCAACTCGGACACAGAGGATGCCTGTCCACAACACCTACTCCACTCCAGCTTCAGTTGAGGGAGGGCCAGTCCCAATGATGACAATGCACCTAGCAGTGCGCTGAACCCTGGAGTAGGAGGTCAGGTGGAAGAGAGGGTCTAAAGAGGGCATGATCCCAGCCACGGAGGAAGAAACCCTCTAGTGAGGATGACATGAACCCATGCGCATATGGACACACACCTACACAGACCTACCATACACAGGCCTGAACCAAGGGCCACCTCAGGGAGGGGGAAAGGGATGAGGAGGTAGGAGTGGGGTTGGGCGGAAAAACCTTTCTCATTTTGCTTGTTTAGCACTACTGCAACACCCACTATGAGCAGACAGCCTTCCTGGCACAGGAGGCAGGGGGGCAGGTGGCTCCCATTGAGGTGAAACTGGTCCTCAGACCTGCTCCGATGCAGACCTAGTGGAGAGAAGACGCATGCCAATGAAGGAACAAGTAGTGACTTCTGGTAGTGAGAGTGAGCAGCAAGCAAGATAATTAATGCAAGAGCTGGGAGGGCAAGCCTTCAAGGAGGTAGCATCAGAGGCCCTGGGGCAGAGGGCTGGCACAGGGATGGGGCAGAGCCAGGGCAGATGAGAAGGTGATCAGTTTGGAGAGGCGAGCTTCTGCTAGCCCAGCGGACTGCCAGAAGTGAGTGCTCCAGAGAACGGAAGGCTCAAGTGAACGTGGGGCAGGAGGAGCAGCGGGGGACCGAAGAACCTGAACCCTGCTTCCTAAGTGCTCCAGTAGGGGCCACTGAAGACTAAAGAAGGGAGTGACATCATAAAATCCGTACTTTAGGAGACTCGCATCTGGGTAGCATGGAGGGCCAATTGGAACTGGAAGTTTGCAGGGACAACAAAGCTGGAATCCATGAGAGATAAAGAAGGACTGGGATGAGGACGAATAAGAAGGGATGGAGTCACGAGAGGTCTCAGAAAAACAATCTGTCATTGTTGCCAAAAAATTGGAAGTGGGCAGCCAGTCTAAATCTGGGCACAGGTTCCTGAACCTGATCTGCCCAACGGCACACAGGAAAGTTCCCACCAACTCCTGCAAAGAGCCCCAGTTCCTCTAGCAGAGAAGAGGCCTTTCTGCTTGGTACTCTCTCCCCTCTCCGGTTTACAAAGGGCCTTCCTGTCCGCAGCCTTATCTGATCCCCCCAGCGATTCTCTGAGTAAATAGGAAGCATTAGCGGCTCTGTGAATGTCCACTTGGACCTGCCGCATCCGGGCCACCAGCATGGGGGCCCTGCCTCCTCTCAAGGGACCTACTGTTGAAGAGCAAGGGCCATGGTTCCAGAACCCTTGTGGGGTGGGGGAGAGGGGACAAGGTTTCAGAAGCATGTGGTTATGAGAAGGAAGCCGGGAGCTGAGTTGAGCTGAGCTGAGCTGAGGAACTAATTCTCTTGGAAACACCTGTCTGTCAGTCTTCCCTCTCACCATGGCCTGCAACACCTATAGGGACTTGCTATGCCTCAGTTTCACTGCTCAAGAGGAGGCAGAGACGATTTTTCTTAAAGCTCAATGGCAGGCTGTGGCAGACAAGGAGGACAGCCCAACCAGGAGGGTCCAAGTAACAAAGACCTACAAGTGGACAAAGGAGGCCCTACCTCTTACTCTCCACCCCCCGCCCCCCCACCGGTCTCTCAAGAGGTTGATGGGGGAGCCTGCCTACAACCACATCCTCAGTCACCACATCCCTGACTCCTATTCCCCTCCTCCTCCCTCCGCCCATCCCCCGTGGATGCCACACAAGGTTTTGCACCTGGGCCAGTCCCACAGTTTGGTTCACAAAACTGCCATCAACACACGGCCTCTCCCAGTCCGTAAGTCACTTTTGAATCACTGCACAGTCATACTGTTTAAACATCACACAGGGAAGTCATCTCCAGCCCCAGGAGCCACTGGTAGCAGTCTCTTGTTTTTCATTTCAGAGTGCTATGTATATGTAAGGCAATGTAGACACGCATTCTTTACCTGTGCTTCTCCTCCTTCTATTTTCCTGCAGCTGCATAATACTCTATTCAACCAGTTCCAACCTTTCATGAGTTCACACAATGCTGCCACGTATGACTATGTATGTATACATGTTTAAGCACACCTCTACACATGGACTCTGAGGAGACTGAGTCTGAAGGAACAGTAAAATCTGTGAGAGTTGGAACCCGACAGGATTGCCTTGTTTTTCTGGGTCTCAAAAAGTTTTCTACCTTTGACAAGGTGCCGACTTACCATTTTTCAATCTTTCTCTATTAATGGGAAATATTTCAGTTTTCCTCTCAGATAGATTTCCACCTTCCACATGCTCACCAGCTTAATGCTTGAAGACCTATTTCTCCCCCAGTCACACCAAACACAATGTGCTCTTCAAATGGAAAAAGAGCGTTGCACTCGAGTTCTGGCATGTACTCGAATTTATCTTAAGAGTAGGGATTGAGAATCTTTTCATGACTTCTCCCTCTCCCGTCTCTCTCATGCCAACTCTGCTCTGAGTGCCTGATACAAAATCCTGTGTCTAGTGGGGCTCATTTTTAGGAGGAAAAAGTGAAGAGAGCATCCTAGGCACTTTTCAATAAGGTCACTATTCAGGAGAGCATCCGTCTACATCCAGGACGTCACTGAGCCACCTTCCAAGTGGGCATGCAGCCAGTGTTACACTCACCACTAATTTCTAAATGCCCACTAACTCCCTAGGAAGAGCACAGCTGTAACTGGGCTCAAAACCTGACCAGAACCCACCGTGTGCGGCATTCTGGTGCTTTCCTGCACATGGACTGTACCTTGGGAAGAGTGCCTGGCCACTCTGAACAGCCAAGGGTAGAACAGATGCTGGCAATTCCGGGGCCCAAGGGCCAGGACCCTGTCTGCAGCAGATCTCTGCCTCCTCAAGCACCAAGAAACACCTGTGGCTGCCTGCCAGCTCACCCCTTCACCCCTCCCAGCTCTGCCGCTCCTGCCATGCTCACGTTAAGAACATTTTATTGCCCCCTGGTTTTCATTATTAATGAAAAGGCACCAGAATGATCTTTCCTAAAGTTCAGAGAGTCTATAAAGACAAGACGCTGAAATGCCATTTTACTCGTTTTGGAGATGTGTGATACAATTCTGTCTTGTGGCAAAATGAAAAAGGAGGAAGATGGAGATGTCCAGACCACTGCCTGGCTCTGAAAGGGATGTTGACCCAGACTGCTTTCTGACGAGGTCACACCTCCCGACACCCTCCCCACCCCCCCCGGCCCATTTTCCAAGTTGACTGTAGACCCCACAAGAGAACAGAGAGCAGGGCACCCAGGGGCTGCAGCTTCTCTCGTCACTATGTTCCAAATGTCCCAAAGTACAGAGACAAGGGCAGAAAGATAGGCCAGTGACTCTTACAAGTGAAGAACATGGAATGAACCATTTCAACTTGAACTCAAGCCTAGGAGCTGTGCCTGCTGGTAGACAAGGCAGACAAGGAAACAAGCAGACAAGAAGCCTGGGGTCAGAGACCCTGTCTCCCCACCACCAACCACATGGTTCCAAAGATGAGTTCCTCTGCACAGCAGTATTCCTGGGTGGTACAATCAAAAGGCTTGGCTACTAATCCAAAAGTTGAAGGTTCAAGTTTACCCAGAGGTGCCTATGAAGAATCAGCCATGAAAAGTCCTATGGAGCACAGTCCTACTCTAACACATGTGAGGTTGCCATGAGTCAGCATCAACTTGATGGCAACTAATTCTGTGAGGCATAGACCATTGGACTGAAGGTGTCCGAGCTTGGCTAGATCCAAAGCACCCAGGGACAATGCCTTTCTGTTACTGCTAGCTCAGATTCACACTATGCATGGTGTGTCCCCAACAAACACAACTGGGTAAGTAGCTGAATGACCCCGCACTTCACTGCAATCCTGGTGACAAATAAGAAGGTCACCTGTGGAAGCAATTCTCATCCTACATACGTGACTATTTCTGGGGTTGCCATCATGCCTCATGCTACAACAAAATCAGTGACCAATTTTTTCCTACTAGGAAGAAGAGTTGGGGGCTCTTGAGAAATCAATGCCTTCCTTAAGCTTCCAAGGTCTACCAACGATCTTCAGTTCCAATAGCCTCCAGGAGAACTCCCATGGCTGCACTTGAAACCATGAAGTCATGATCCCGCCAATACCATCCAGTAAAGGTACTCATCCAGTAAAGGAGCTCTGGTAGCGTAGTGGTTACGAATCGGGCTGCGAACCTTAAGGTCAGCGGTTCGAAACTACCAGCCGCTCCGCGGGAGAAAGATGAGGCTTTCCACTCCCGTAAGGATTTACACCCTCGGAAACCCTGTACAGGGTCGCTATGGGTCGGAACCGACTCGACGGCACTCAACAACAACAACAAAGGTACTCATGGAAGTTATCACATTATCATCCTGCTGAGACAATACACACAGTGGAGAACTATGCTGTTCTTAGGAGGCTGGCAGCTGCACAAAGGGCCAAGGCAGTGGCAGAAACTGGGCAAGCCTTATAGTGGTCCCTACCAGCACTCCTCCAGGTGGGAGCCATGACTCCACCACAGTGGTGCATCCAGCTTCTCAATTCATTCCATCGGTTTCCCTTGCAAGCCCCCCAGAAAATGAAGTGATATGACAGGCTCACCCACAGCATAGCAAGGTGCTGGAATGAAGCCAGGCTTGCTATGGCACAGAGCTGCCAGGCTAAAGGTACCAGGAGGATGCTGAATAGCTGAAGAAGGCTAGCCGGAGCAGATAAGACACCCCCACCCAGAGGACAGCAATCAGAACAGCTCCACTCTTTACAGAAGCACCCGGGCAGCCTGCCAGACAGAACGGTACCACAGCGGCCCACCACCAGTCACAGCTGAGCA